GATGTTGAAAAAGTACACGCCGTTGTTGCGCGAAGCACATTTCGAAGTGAAATGGTACAAAGCACCTCATTGTCGGCGCACGTTTGGAAGTTGAGATGTCGAAAAAGTGCACGCCGCTGTGGCGCGAAGCACATCTGGAAATCAAAAATGCTAAAAATTGAGGGTCTCGGGTCACTTTTTGAAGTTTGGACGTGACCAGACAACAACTGCAACTACAAGTACAAGGACAAGTACACTTACAACCACAACCACAATAACAACTACAACTACAACCACATTACCACTACCACTACCACTACAGCTACAACTACCACTACCACTACAACTACAACTACCACTACAACATACAACAGCCACAACTACAACTACCACTACCGCTACAACACCAAACTCCAACTACAACTACAACACTACAACTTCAACTACAACTGCAACTACCACCACAACCACATCTACAACTACATTACAACTACCACTACCACTACAACTACGACAACTACACTACCACCACGAATACAACTACCACTACCACTACAAACACAACTACCACTACCACTACAAACACAACTACCACTACACTACCACCACAACTACAACTACCACTACCACTACAGTTTCAACTACCGCTACAACTACAAATGCCACTACCACCACAACTACCACTCCTGCTCCCACTCCCACTCTCACTACAATAACTACAACAACTACTACTACAACTACAACTACAACTGCAACTACAACTGCAACTACAACTGCAACTGCAACTCCATCACAACTACACTGCGCTGCCTCCAACCACTTGTCGGTCCATCAGTGGGTTCGCTCCGCCATCCATCATTCGCAGCAACCAACCTCTCCTATAGGTTTCCTATCTTTGAAACTTCCGCCACCGCCGTGTGCGGTACTACTGGTATCGCCATTGTATCCCATCTTGATGGCTAAAGACCCATTAAAACACAATGAAATCACATTTTTTGATGAAATTCGTGAATGTTATTCCCCCCAATATGGTGGTCATAGGTTTTGACATGGTTTGACCTATCCCCAAATGGTTATTGAAAATGAGCACACATCATCTGCCACCGGGCCACCAGTGTCTGATTCGCATTGGCGGGTCCCATGGATCCATGACTGCCATGAAGGAGCCGCGCTGCTGCCGACTGCGGAGCTTCTCATTGCTACTGACCTGGCCAATGAGCAAAGCAGTCTACCTGGGGGGAAATCTGGCGGTTGGATTTGCTAGGGAGGCCATGAAAACTTTTCCGTCTGTATATATGCATGTGTATATATATGTATTATATTATATATATACACAATATATTACGATATTTTATATGCACTCTTGGTAAAAGTCTATACATATCAAAATTTCCCAGATGGGTGAAAATGGGGATACCGGATACCTGAATTCATTGCCATGTCATGGAGCACACGAGGGTTTAAACCCAGTGGATTTGGGAAACTCTTGGGAGTTCCGTAGCTCCCTACTCACCACAAGTCTGGAGGGTTAAGGGAACCTGGGATGCTAGGGGCTGGGTTCCCAATATCCAGGTGATCAAGGGTTCATATGGGGCCACATATTAGCTAAATTCATTTAATCAATTTAATCATAATTTAGTTAACTCCGGTTCATGGTAGTTATAAGTCGTAACCTTTCAAAAATCTATATAGTCCGAAGGGATTATAAATGAACGTACAACTCGGGGGCTCCACATTGTGACCCAGTCGCTATCTACTTTTAAAGTTTCAGGGATCCCCCAAAACATGCACAAATCAGCCTATCCGCGTACCTGGGACACAGCATCACGCTCCACCGGCAGCAACGGCTCCGAGTTCATTTTGCTTGTCGGATACGAGATGCCACGCAGAATTGGATGCGGGGGGCTAAAGCTCTGACAACGCTAGACAATGGACATCTTTCTATACTCTGTTCCTGGCATTTGTGAAAAGGGGATCGAGAAAATTGAGAGGAAAAGTCCTTAGAAGACTTACGTCCGCTTTGTCAGCCTACTCTGAATTCCCAAAGTGTCTTGAAAGCAAAATGATATCAGAGTATGAAATCACACTTCATTGTCATAACACTGACATCAACTCGGAAACCATGATTAGGAAGCACTTCCAAGGAAAACAACATGTTTAAAACTTTGTGATGACATTGATTGAGAAACAATCAATGTATTCGCCACCCTGTGGGAACTAATTTAACTCCGGAAAATTCATGAACACCATATCTCAATTATTGTATGCCCCTTCCAGCCAATATATATATATATATTACATGAAATACAACCCACACAAACCCTGCTCTGGTATCGGAGTGTATTGGATCTATGCATAAACTGGAATCCAATCTGTTTGGGGGCTATTCAATACTAGCCGGAGAGGGAATTCTCTGACTGACAGGTTTCGGCCTCCCTTTTGTAAGCTCTTTTGTGACCATAGCAGCAGTATATGCTTTTTGTTGTTTGACTTCTGACCTTCATGCGATTCAATTCTTGGATCGAGATTGTCATTGTCTTCCGCCAAGTCGGTGAGATTTGTTAGTGTTTTCAAACCCTGCTCCAACGAAAGGAATTAGAAATCAATCATCTCCAAATCCGCTTGCAAAAATTATGAAAAACCCATTCTTGTGCGAAAAACATCATGAATGGAGTTACCTCTGTGGTCTATTCACTCTTTCAGTCATCAATGAAATGTTTCGTTGCGAAACATTCAACACTACACGCCAGTCGGGGGCAAAGCCTCAAGCACCCTGAGTCATCAAATGTGAAAACTCAAGAGCACCCAGCCAGTTCCACCCTTACCAGTAGCCCAACCTAGATGCATCAGTCTTCCCAAACCAAAGCACAAAATACAACAGCAATTCACGCGTGGACGCCACCGAAAGGGAGCGAATGCCAATGCTGGAGCAAGGGCCACCCACAGTCTCTAAGTCACCGCTGCACTGCTGAAGCTTACCAAAATAGAAAAAAAAAGTGCGCCTGCAATTTATACGAAAGACAAATTCCTCTACCCCCGATGTGAACCCATCCAGAAAGGCCTCTCTGTATTTGTCTGCAGGATATATCCAAAATTATCCAAATAATTACATCGCGTTCCATGATGCCGCAGCGCACAAAATGGCGAGGTCTCGGTGTGCCAGTGCGAGCACGGCAATCGGTGTATCGGCGCATGAATGCGTGCGCGGCAGTCCGTGTATTGGTGTATCAGCACGAGCGCAGCAACCGGTGTATCAGTGCGAGTGCGGCAACCGGTGTATCGATGTATCGGTGCGAGGGCGGCAATCGGTCTATCGGTGTATCGGTGCGAGCGCGGCAATCGGTGTATCGGTGTATCGGTGCGCGCGCGGCAATCGGTGTATCGGTGTATCGGTGCGCGCGCGGCAATCGGTGTATCGGTGTATCGGTGCGAGCGCGGCAATCGGTGTATCGGTGTATCGGTGCGCGCGCGGCAATCGGTGTATCGGTGTATCGGTGCGCGCGCGGCAATCGGTGTATCGGTGTATCGGTGCGCGCGCGGCAATCGGTGTATCGATGTATCGGAGCGCGCGCGGCAATCGGTGTATCGGTGTATCGGTGCGCGCGCGGCAATCGGTGTATCGGTGTATCGGTGCGCGCGCGGCAATCGGTGTATCGGTGTATCGGTGCGCGCGCGGCAATGTATCGGTGTATCGGTGCGCGCGCGCAAACGGTGTAGCGCAGGGGGTTGTATCGGTGCGTAGGCGGTGTGTTGGTGTATTGGTGTATCGGTGTATCGGTGTATCGGTGCGAACGCGGCAATCGGTGTATCGGTGTATCGGTGCGAACGCGGCAATCGGTGTATCGGTGTATCGGTGCGCGCGCGGCAATCGGTGTATCGGTGTATCGGTGCGCGCGCGGTGTATCGGTGTATCGGTGTATCGGTGCGAAAAACGTTTAGCGGACCCCAATCCCGAACGCTATGACAACAACCACAACAACCACAACAACCACAACAACCACAACAACCACAACCACCACAACCACCACAACCACCACAACCACAACCACAACCACAACAACCAGGACAACGACAACAATAACCATAACCGTAACCACAACTACCACCACAGCAGCTAAAATACACAAGAACAGCAGCCAGTACTGAGAGCACAGGCGGCAGGGAGGGGGCACGGGGGTTTCAGAAGACACGTTAGGCAGTTATTCGGTGCTTCACTGCCATGGTGTTTCAGGCTGCCCAGTCCAGCGTTTGGGCGGCTCGGAAGGTGTCAGTTGAAGCACATGTCTGGCACATGTCTGGCTACTATTCAATAAGATTTCAGAAGACCCCTCTAGGCAGTTTTTCGGTGTGATTTGGTGGCTTGTCTGTCCTTCACTGCCATCGTGTTTCACGCTGGCGAGTCCAGCGTTTGGGCGGTGCTCCGGAGCCTTCTCCGGAACCCTGTTGAACCTGTTGAACCTGACTTGGCTTTGCATCAAGGCTTCCTGGCCTTCTCCGGAACCTTCTCCGGAACCCTGTTGAACCTGACCTGGCTCTGCACCAAAGCCTCCCAGACCTTCTCCGGAACTTTCTCCGGAACCTCGTTGAACCTGACCCGGCGCCTGCACCAGTGCACACCAGAGCTATTCTGGGCTGAAGACCCCATTAGCTTACGCTGTTGGGGCAAAACCATGGTTTTTGGTTCCGCGGAGGGGTCCGGGAAGGAAAAATTGGCATCTTGGAGGTATTTCAACAGAGATGGTCTCACATATCACCAACATAGCCTCAACATGGGCCCCAAGATGGGGCCAACATGGGGCCAACATAGACCAACATAGGGCCAAGACAGGGCCAAGATAGGGCTAACATAGGCCAATTGAAGAGTACGGATTAATTACAGTATAGAAAAGCCAGAAAATTAATTATAGAACAGGATCCGAATTTCCCCCGAATAGGGTTCCGGAGAAGTCAGAAGGTACGGTATTTTACCTTACTTTTGTACTCCTAATTCTGTTCTATAATTCTGGCACCTCCTGTACACTCTATTGCAACAAATTCTGGAGCCACACATATGCAAGGGGGAACTTCTCGACCTGTCGGCGCCTGTCGGTCTCAAATTTCACCCTACCCCTTTTGCACCCCTCTAGACCTGGCGTCCAAGGAAGCGGAAGAAATGCTAACAACTCCTTGAGTCCTTGAGTTTGGTAGAAACAGCATTTTTGTGGCACTGATTTTGACCTCCAAATGAGGCAAATGACTCTGCAAAGCACCAACATGATGCACCCTTGGCAGCGGCAAAGGCTCTTTGGCCCACTACCAACGCCAATGCAATGCCAGTGGCCTGGAACAGCAAAACACTAACACGCTAACACGCCTTTAAGACCTCTTTGCCTGCTGATTGGCGTGTCAAATCCAAGTCTTCATGTTGAGGTGCAACATCTTTTGCATGATCAAACGAAAGCTCACAAAATATCTAGTTCCGAACAAATATTATATATATATTATAACATATATCATATATAATATATATATATATCATATATAATATAATATAATATTATATTATATAATATAATATTATATTATATTATATAACATAACATAACATAATATATAATATATAATATATAATATATAATATATAGTATATAATATATAATATATAAAATATAATATATAAAATATAAAATATAAAATATAAAATATAATATACAATATATAATATATAATATATAATATATAATATATAATATATAATATAATATTATATACAATATAAAATATAAAATAATATAAAATTTAAAAAATAATATATAATATAATATATAATATAATATATAATATAATATATAATATAATATATAATATAATATATAATATAATATATAATATATAATATATTATATGATATAATATAATATATGATATAATATAATATGATATAATATAACATGATATAATATAATATAATGGAATATAATATAAATATAATATAATATAATGTAATATAATATAATGTAATATAATATATACGCAGTGAAAATGCAATAATGGATGGACGTGTGATTAGTAAAAGCATGAAATCATATAAGGCCCTCTTTCCTCACCTCGCAGGAAGAAAGCACACCTGCTAGCGCAGAAGAAATGGCCTGGCGCAGCAGCCGTGGATGGCTAGCACCCAGCATCTATCCAACGACTCCATCAGCACTTTTGCCTCCTCAGACCACTCACTGCGAGCTGCTGCCAGGCGTCGGATGAGACGATCATGAGGCGCTTGTGCCACTGCACTTGGGTCCTGGCAGAGGAGGCTAAAGATGACGTGGGATGAAATTTGAGATGTCTCAAATGATCAAGGATGTTAGTCATTTGCAGTAATCCCAACGATGACTTTGTGATACAGATTCAATGGTTTCAAGTTTCAATTCGCTGCTAGCTCACCGCTCACCTTCTCTTTTTGTCGACATCTGACATCTGATTGACATCAGGCTCATTCATGTGCATAAGACAGAGATATCGAAATCCAAGTAGAATCACTGATCTTGGTCTCAAGCCAACAGGGCGAGCAAGGCAGCAGGGCGATCCAAATGTCCCAAATCAGCCTAGCCAAGGCGGCCAAGATGTCGATTATTTTCCAAACGACCTCATGCAATACTCCATGAGTTTTATGACCACAACCTGAACCAAATGCAAAGATATGCAGAGGATATGATATGTGTTTCAAACCCATCCGGCCTTGAGAACTTGCGCAGTTCTATGTAAGTCTGGTATGAACACATGCCTCAGAGACAGACGAGCCACGTGAGCCTCATGTGCATTTCTCTGAAAGTATACTGAGTATACTGCTTGATTCCAGTGGTTTATCATCATTTTCCCTGTTAAACAGCCACAACTGAGACCAACAGAAGCACCTTCAGACGCACTCGGGGTTTTTTAGGGATCCCAGGGGATCCGAGGGTGCCACTTGGCACGAGAGCTGCTGGAGGTTGCACCACCATGAACACAAAGTGGCAGCGTTGAACCCTGACGATGATCCCATGCTGACAATGGCCGATGATTTCCACAAGGCGAACTGGGTCCGTTCACCCAAGTTTACCCCCAAAAAAGATCAAAATAGCTGGGATTTACAAATGTTAAATCCCAAAAAATATGCAAAAATAGGTTTTGCCTTGTCCCCATATCCTAAAAGTGAACTGTCCAGTTGATGGGCCCCCAACATCTGAGCCAATGAGAAGAATCCATGCGAAACCTAAAAATAGGTCATCAATGCTGATCTCATCCTTAGCAATTCCATGCGTGAATCCAAATGGAGGACTCGGGCACCAGATTTGAAATAATGACACAATCAGATAATCAAACATCATCAAACTATCCAATTGCGGTTGGATTCATGATTCATACTAAACGCATACCTGGCATACCTTGACTCATACCTCACTCTTTCAAGACCCTGTGGCCCTTAGGTGCATTTGCTCCAAGCCTCGTAGAGTTCTTGGTACTCCCGAGCCTGTGCATAAATGCTGCACAAATATTCACGTATATGACCGTATATCACAGTATCATATAATCCCACTGAGCCAGCCAAAGAATCTTCAAAATGAACTGACTAAGTACTATCACTGGAAACCATCTTGGCTGCAAATCCTTCCCTTGTGCTCGCCTCTGGGTCAAACCACAGTTTTTGACCACCGGGTTCAAGGAACACCCCAGTGTCGGGGTTGTGCAGCCATCCGTCCTTTTGCCAACTGGAATGCAGCTCTTTCGGTAACTTTGACTCTGGAATTTCTGTGGTCGGGAAGAAAGGACACAATTGACAAACTAAAGCATCAGGTGCCATGTTTTCATCGAGTCCTGCAAGGGTTTGAAGCCAGACGGAAGTGGAGCATCCTGCGATGCTCAATTGCTGTACCCAGGCGTCACCAGCAAGATGGCCAAAGGTGCTGCTTTCTAGAGCTAGTTCATAACCCGTTATTAGTGACTTATTAGTGGTCGTTGGCGGTAAATAAGCCATCGAGCCAGCCGCATTGCAAAATCAATGGTGCGTTCCTCCTGCACTTGTCCACCTTGGGCTTTAAAGAGCTCCGGGCGATTTTGTTTCACAAAGGACAAGTTGGATTTGGTCCTCCCAATCAAGCGTGCAGCAGCTTGGACGCAAGATTCAAGTGTTTTTATTTGTTCATGTTTGTTTTTACAGCTTGAAGACTAAACTTGGTTGACCTTCATCAAACGCCATACAAGGTGGTGCCTACCAGGTATAGACTGGTTCAAAACCCTCATCATAAGGCAACATCTTGAAAGATCTCATCGTTTTTGTACACCGTTTGAGTGCAGGAAGAGCGGCTGAATCTCTGCCTGGCCGTCATGGCCTTCTTCTTCGGTACACCAATTGTGGCCTCCTTGGGGGCGAGAAACGATCCTTCGGAAATAGGTCCTAGGTATAACTTACGGTTTTTTACTCGGTGTAACAGAATAGTCTGTTTGTGCCTGGTGGAATCTTGCGGACACTTATAGATACTGATATCTAGAGAATCACATAGATGGGTGTGGATACTTATGGATACTATTGGATACTTATGGCAGTTTCACTGTACATTTTACTGCAGTGGGACCAGTGGGCCTACGGGTGTGGCATTGCTTTGATAATGGCTTTGTCATGTCACGCTGAATTTACCCAATCAATCTTGCTACAATCGTCGTAATCATCCTCATTGTCGTCATCCTTATGCTGAGTCCAAGGGCAGTCCCAGCCACTCTTTCCAGCCTGGTAGAGCTGTTGCTCTCGCGTCATCAGAGTCTTCTGCATGCAATCGAGGCCGAGCATCGAGGAGCTACTGCTCCGCTGGGCGATGGAATTCCATGGAGACTTCTTCCAGGACTAAGACAGGACGGCAAATAGTGACACAACCGTCCCCTGATCTTTTTCCTCTTTGAGGCAGAATTGCCAGATCTGACCCTGAAAAACGTTGGCAATACCCAATTTATATATCCCATGTTTATCAATTCAAAACCTATTTTGCTAAACACCGAGTGATGGGACAGTCGTGGCTTCGAGCCAACAGCTATCGCATCCATGTCACAACTGCATCGACAGACAAAGGGACAGCACCTGTTCGCCATCACATCAAATGGGCGGTTCCCAACCATGAGATTTTTCCCCAAAAAACAGAAATAAAGTAAACTAGTAAACCTTCAAATATACATCATTATACATCGTTTGGGGTTTGGGGCTTGGGGGGTCCCTAATTTGACAAGGGATTTGCCGCAAAATTTTGCTTGAGAAGCACTCACTAAAGGCATGGCGACAATCGAAGCCACCGCTGGGCTGTTGTCTCCGGATCCCGATTGGTCGTTGGCTCGGACTCGCAGAAAGACTTCGTTCAACTACCCAAAAATGTCACGTAGATGCATTTAGGATCCATTGTGACTATGGGCCAATAGTCAAAACCTTGGGACGCTGGTGACCCACCAAATACGTGGCAAATGGATCTTCATCCCCCCAAACATGGAGTAGGTGTCGATCCATCCACAGATTTAAGGAGTGGAAATCGACCATGTTTCAAGGACTTTTGAGACAAGGGCAATGTTTCAAGGAGACCGAGCCGAGCCCATCATTCTTTGCTCAAGAGACTCTCAGCACTCGTTCGGGGGGCAGTTCGTGTTGGCACTTCTGCCCTTTCCACCTGCACAAACCACAAGAAGTTTGCAGCAAGGGACTGTTTTCTCTATTCGTCTGACCTGAAACCTGCTCAGGGCAGAAAAATAACGCAAAACTTGCCTCCTCGCTGTCGCTTTCATCTGAGTCATCAGAATCATCACCAATCAGATCTTTGACCTAAACAAAAGATAACAAAGGATGCTAAGATTGGAGATCCATCAATGGGCAATCACCTCAACTGTGGTCGCGCCTCTGCAGAAGTTGACTTCCGCCTTGGCCTCACCTGCGACTCTCTGCTTTGATCTCTGTGGGGCGGTGTGTTTTGGAGTACATGCAACCCTCATTTTTCTGAAAGAAATCCGACAACAACGGGTATTCTGGCTCGCACAACAAATCATCAAAGCCAACTGCACTGGATATATCGGATATGCATTCACATGCTAACGCCTTGGGAGCAGCACATAAGACATTTTACTTCTGTCAATTGCCCAAAACATCCTGCAACATAACTTTGAGACCGAGCCATATTCCACTGTTTTGGCCTGGGTTACGCCATCTCCACTTTCCTCCTGGAGGGCTAGGGACAGCGGAAACTCCAAATGCATCCAAATGCTTCTTCCACTTTGGAGCAGGAGGAGCAATATTGGTTCTTCTGTTGCTGAGAAAATGCCTACTGATACTGAAACGGTAGGGCCTAAATGGCTGAATTTCTCAATCCGAGCAAAAGAAGCATACGTGTCTTTTTGATGTTTTTGAAGCCTGGTTTGAATCACACATTTCCAGTTTGCTGACAAACTGTGTCCTCACTCTCCCCTTCAGAGCTTGCTTCACTTGATTCTGACTCCTCGTCATTCGCGCAAACGACAATGCCAGAGTCAAACTACATTCAGGCTCACCAAGCTTGACTGTGGCATGCATGTAAGGTGCGGCTGTTTCACAGAGGAGAGCTCAAACAGTGAGCACATATTAGCACAATACAGGAAGACATGAACACATAGCCACATAGCACACGAAAACATGGCCTCCTCAGACTCCGCTTGGAACACTTCAGTCTTTGGCTTTGGCTCAACAACCTGGTGCTGCAAATGCCCCAATTGATCCAACTGCATTTGTCAGGGTGGAAGATAAAAAAGATGCGCCTCTGCAGCTGTCTTCTCTCCTGGGCCAAGGAAGAACCCTTTGTTATGTAGTCTTTTTTGACAACTTCAGCATGGGAGCCGTGTCATGAAAACGTCCGACCAGGTTAATGGCTGATGGATGTTCTCAAGCGTAATCGTGCTCATTCTTCATTGGGATTGCCAAGAAATTTCGAAAATGTCAGTGTCAGACAAGAGATCTCAAGGGAGGAGGTGACTCCATAACAACTGTCCTGCAACAGCTGCAGCTGTCGGCACATACCCAGCTGTCTCCACAGGGGTCGGGGCTGGTGTTGAAGCTGGCACGGCAGGCACAGGCGCTGCAGGAACCACTGGTGCTCTAGGAACCACTGGCCTGCAGAGCTTTGCGCTTTTGTTTGGGCGACGCGCTTCTGTACAGCCAATCCCGCAGAAATGCAAAAAAAAACATAAAGGACTTCTGGACGGAATCAAAATGGATCCAAATTTAGCTGATAGCTCGAGCTACAGTCTACAGTAATCTACAGTAGCCGTTAGAACCGTGTGGAAAACCGCGGAATCGTGTGGAAGTTGTCGCCTCTCTTCCGATGCCAGTGCCGCTGGTGCCGCTGGTGCCGACGCTGCCGCTGGCGCCGTCTCCTTGGGCTCCACTTTGGGCATGGACTTGGGCGCATGGCCTGGCCAATTCCACCGACTGGCAAAGAACTGGGGGGTGAATCTGCTGCGAAATCGAAGGAAATTGGATGGAATTGGATGATGCATGGTGATTCTCCCACAACATCCCACAACCTGGCATCAAGTTGCTATTTTTTTGGAAATTTCCTGTTTCCAACTTCCAACCAAGAAATATAACTCACGCATCCACAGGTGCTGCCATTTTTCTTTGTTCATTTCTGTTCATTTCTACTTCTCGGTGCCGCAAACCCAGCAAGCAACTGTCGGTTTCCCTGCCTGCGCTGTGACCGGACGAAGTTCTGCTGCGAGTGTTCGAGAGACGCTTCGACACTGCTGAGGGCTGCTCCACCTTGAACTGCCATGAATTAAGGGTATAAGGTATACAGTACGCCCTTTTTCAGACAGACCAATATCGGTGAAACTTGGGCACCAGAACCCATTGTCAAGTTCTGACCGGTGGGAACCCAAAGCTTGGGGTCAGGCTCCAACTGATCGGCGCGAACCCAACGCTCCAACCCGGCGTGGTGCAGCTGCTCTGGCTGGAGTGGAAACAGAATCATCCTGGTCGAAGGAGCTGGGAACACGGGAAGAAATGGAGCTGGGTCATATCATCCCCTTCAAACCTTCAAAACTCAGCGAATATCATCCAAAGTGTGGGACATGTCCGGTTCCGGGGATCGTTTCACCAAAACTTCTCTTCAGCCGGCCTCGATGAAAGTCACCTCTTCATCTGATGAGTTCCTGGAGAAGGCCTGAGGTGAACTCTCTGCCACAAGGCTTCGCTGAGGCATAAAATCTGAGTCACAAGCTGGGTGGGAAGTCAGAGTCACATCTGGCCTTTGGTCAAAGAAGTCATGGCGTTGAGCATGGGACCATGGGACAGCCAGCTTGGCATCTCAGGGCTCCGGGCCTTTTGGGGCTCTCAATGGGCTGCTTGTTGGGTTGCGTGACAACTCCATTAACTCCATGGCTTCGAGATTTCATCCTCACAGCATCTCACAGCCATGTCCATCATGCCAACATGTCAGTGTTCTTTTCAAGTTACGCTGTCCAATAGGAGTTGCTGAAGGATTACATTGTTGCGTTTCCAGTCCTTTCTTCGGTCTGTGGCGAGCTCATCCTGGCATTCCAACATGCGAAGACAGGGGAATCTTCGTCCAGCGCCTGCAGTTTATTCGGCCTGGAATCGAAGGTTGCGTCCACGCTGGGCACGAACAGCCCACTGATGTGTTCGGTTTCCTCTCCAAAGCCTGGTTGTGAAAGGGGGGCACAAATGGGCATAGACTTCCTATGTCCCTACAAACACCAAGAGTCACTAGCCAGCCGAACCTTCTCCCAGCAGCATTGGCTGATAGTAGGGCGTATCGGAGAGTCCTTTCCCAACAGAAATAGATTTGCAAGCACCACACGCAACCCATGTTTGCGGAATATGTTCGGCCATGTCAAATTCCGAAGTAGGAAAGCCATGGAAAACCTCTGAGGTCCTGAAAAGTTGAGCTGCCTTGCTGAGGAATTCTCGCGATTGGGTTTGGCCTCCAGCCGTGCTTGGAGCATCACTTACATCAAACATGCCGGAAATCAGTGTCCATATTATAAAGTCACACAGGCCTCACGAGGATTCCGCTTCACCTTCAACTCACGTGCTCTGTAAAAAAAAACTTGTTCTATGTGTTCTGGATGCTTCACAAATTGAATAGTACAATCAGACCATAATCATTATAATTATTGTGTTCTATTTGGTCAAGAACATTGAGACCAGGGAATTGAGGAACTTCCAAGGTGGCCTTGGCAGAGCTGGTAGGTGCCTCCCAGATCACTTGGCAAAAAGTCACACTTCGTGGGTCTGATTTCGCTGACGTTCCTCTATAAGCCATCCCATTTGAAGCCAGTTTGTAGCAATCTTTGCAGCAAAGAATGGATTTTGAATGTTCAAAAATGATTTTGATCTCTCTCTCCATTCTCTCCCCACCTTCGCCATGGACCGTCTCTTGGGCGATGCTCTTGGCGGCTTCCCGGGATCATCTCGTGGCGTGTGCCCCGTGCGCTGCAGGCAGCGTGGCAGAACCAGGTCCTGCTCGTCGGGCACGGCCGGGAGGTCCTGCGCCAGACTCACCTGGAGGGCCAAGGGAGATCCCCCAGAGACCGTGGTGGACGCCTCATCGACAATGGAAGGCATCCCAATCGTACACAAACACCAGGAAGGACTCAGGCACACAGCTGAGAAGCCTTCCAGCGTCGACAATTTCGATGATTTGTTGCCAGCCCATCTCAATGGTTTGTTGCAAAGACATCGGTGCAAGTCGTGGCACGACACACCACTGGGCGCCGTAATGGTCACAGGGATGGCTGCTGACTCCGCCAGCAATCTCACGTCCACGTGTTCGGGCGTGAATCCTGGGCCAAGCTCTCGTGCAATGTCCTCCTGGATGGTGGCTCGGAAAGAAGCCGCCAAGTCACTTTTCGCGGAAAGCATTGAGAGATTCAGATTCTGTGCCATGATGAAGAGACTCACAGCACCACGAATTGGAAGCTCCGGTTCTGCTTTTGTCCCTTGGAGTGTTGTGGGCTCCAAAATACCTGCGATGCCATTGGATCCACCAACTCCTGGGACGCCGCTGGAGTGAGGAAATCTGGACCTCGAGAGAAAAGTGAACATAAGTGACATAAGTGTCATAGTGACATGGTTGTTGCAAAGAATCGTCTCCAGATTGAGACTCAAACCCAGCGACATCCTGAAACGAGAGAAAGAGAGTGCAGAAACACATGCGCTGTTCGTGTTTGGAAGTTCTACAAGATCAAGAAAGTGTTCTAGGCCGCCTAGGCCCTAGGCAAATTCAAACAGAACTTTGCTGATCACGCCTGCATCACAGCACTGTAACCAGGCTCGCCTCACAGGAGAAAGGGCAAAAACCATCAAAAACCAGAAGACTTTTCTGTAACTTTCGCTTCCGAAAACTGACCAAGAGCATGACGATGTCTGTGATTTGTGTGTGTGTGTTCAAATTCAAATCTTTTTGTTTCCATGAATCGCAACAAACGGTCCGATGAAGGAAGACTGCGGGCTTGGCACTGACCCTGCATCTCACAGCTGCATCTTGCAGCAGGATTTGCAGAAAAAACTCCACGGCTGTGGCTCAGTCTTCTCCAAAGATCATTGCTCTGGTTTTTGGCTCCTGGTGATATTTCTTGACCCAAATCTCGTCGATGAACCTCAGCATCGGAAACCAAAAGTTCAAGTCATCGGGACACCGCAGGATTCACCGAGTTGCCACTGCAAGTCTCGGTCGATTCCAATCTCCTGACAAGATTGATGCAATAGCGAAGCTTGAGAAGCTTCAGGGCACACGCGAGTGCAGGGCTTGAATCAAGTCACTTGAGTCATTTGAGTCTCTTGCAACACAACGCCAATGAGACTTCCTCGGCTTGCGAAATCGTGGGCGCAAAGAAACAACCGCCTGTCCTCGATCATTCTCAAGCCATTGTCCATGGAACGGAGAGTTGTCCTTCGACAAAAAGGCTGATCCATGAGTACTGGTTACTGGTTGGTTCAGGGGGTAGCCTGTAAGTATGTTTAAGATGATTGAAAGAGAAAATCACATGAAATTATGTATATCACTAAGGTGGAACCCCCTGATTAATCATTAATCAAGCAGTGTTTATCAATCCGGGCTTGGCGTTGCAGTTGCGATCCTCAAGGTGCTCTTGTCCCCAAGATTGTCGTCGATCCGCCAATCTTTGCGATCCTTTCAGGTGCCAGGTGCTCTGAGTGGTTTGATGAGGTCACACGGCCAGGGTCAAATATGATATGTGTAGATATGTGTAGATATGTGTAGTTATCTGTAGATGATATCATCATATGGCAGTGTGTCAAAACCAATAGTACCCCTGTAGTTCACATCAAAATAGCTGGTAAATGGATGTTCATTCCCCTAAAAATGGTATTAATAAGTATTGATCCTACCCATATCATCTATGAGGTCATAGGTCGTATCATCAAAGTCGGACACGAAACTGCTCCAAGTATTGCCGCGTGGCGCCTTCACAGAGGCCCAGTCCTGCACTGGTTTCGTACTGTTTCCAGGTCATTGCAGCCAATCCAACGCATCAATCCCCTGCCTGAGCAGGAATCTGCCGCAAACAATCTGGCACAGCAGCAACCATCACGGAGAGGTTCTGCAAACAGGTGAGTTTCACCTTGGCTGCTGCATGGTTTTTTTGATTTTTTTGGTATATTGTAATCTGTTCCTGTTTTCAAATCCAAATTTCAGGCTCAGGCCATTCTTTCCAGGGTCTGAAGATCCAACTTGGGACCACCAGACTCATGATACCTCCAGGTATCAATGCCACTGCGCCCAGCGACTAGACTGTCCCCCTAGGCTTTGTGGATGCTGGTGCGGTTCATTTCAGTTCAGCTGAATCATCATCATCATCGTCGTCATCATCATCACCACCTGCCACTTTGGTGAGCTGGAAAGGGGCACGAGTCAATGAAGGTCTTCAAGAAGTGCTCAAAATGATCCTGCAAAACAGCAAAGACATATTTCTAGTCTACGGATTACATCATCGTCGCCATCATCACCACCACCACCACCATCACCATCAGGACCATCATCATCAACATCAACATCAACATCATCATCTGGGAGTGTTTGCACCTGCTTCCAGTTTCTAACATTTCTTTACATGTCTGTACATTTTTCAAATACTCTCTGCCCTTTTGCATAATGCACTACTCATCTCTTTCTGAACCTTGTCCTAGAGTCCTAGAGCTCCTGTCATGATCGGAAACCGTCGATCTCCTCCAAGGGTCACTTCCCCACCCGAAGCTCCTTGAGAAGCTCGAACTCGGAGCAATTGAAGTACCACCAGAGTTTGTGGCCCAAGCAACTTTGACCAAAGCCACCCCAATCCAGCACGCCACAGCACAGCTTTCCGGCCTCAAGATGGAGAAGACAATGGTGATGAAGAAGATGGTGATGGTGGTGGTGATGGTGTGATGATGATGGTGATGGTGTGATGATGATGGTGATGGTGATGGTGGTGTTGGTGGTGGTGATGATGCTGATGATGCTGATGATGCTGATGATGCTGATGATGCTGATGATGCTGATGATGCTGATGATGCTGATGATGCTGATGATGCTGATGATGCTGATGATGATGATGATGATGATGATGATGATGATGGTGGCAATGGCAAACATGGCAAACATGGCAAACATGGCAAACATGGCAAACATGGCAAACATGGCAAACATGGCAAACATGGCAAACATGGCAAACATGGCAAACATGGCAAACATGGCAAACATGGCAAACATGGCAAGCATGGCAAACATGGCAAACATGGCAAACATGGCAAACATGGCAAACATGGCAAACATGGCAAACATGGCAAACATGGCAAACATGGCAAACATGGCCAAACATGGCCAAACATGGCCAAACATGGCCAAACATGGCCAAACATGGCCAAACATGGCCAAACATGGCCAAACATGGCCAAACATGGCAAACATTGCCAAACATTGCCAAACATGGCCAAACATGGCCAAACATGGCCAAACATCGCCAAACATGGCCAAACATGGCCAAACATGGCAAACATTGCCAAACATTGCCAAACATGGCAAACATGGCAAACATGGCAAACATGGCAATGATGCACAAATGCACAAATGCACAAATGCGCGCAAAATGATCAAAATGATCAAAATGATCAAAATGACCTAAATTATCAAAATGTCCAAAATGTCCAAAACGGTCAAAATGGCCAAAATGACCAAAATGTCCAACAGGTCCAACATGTCCAACATGTCTAACATGTCCAACATGTCCAAAATGCAATTCAGCCCAAACAACTCGGAACAAAAGAAAGACAAAAATACTTTTCAAGACACAAGATCAGGCATGGTCGAAATGTGAGAAATAAAGAACACAAGTGTGTACCAGGTATACCAAATGCTGGCTCTCAAGTTCAGAGCCTCATCCCGCCAGTAGTAAGCATTGTCCACGTTCAAATTCGCATGCGACAATGCCACGTAATTCAAATCCTGGACGCGAAAAAAACTATGCCATTCTCATTTCCAAAAAGAACGGCAGCAGGAATACTTCTGAGAGCTTTCATTTGAGGCTCTGGAGGCATATCGAAATAAATCAAATCTACCATATAAAATCTCATGATCTACTTGAATCTACTTCATACATCTTGATACATCTTGATACATCTTGATACATCTTGATACATCGTGATACATCTTGATACATCTTGATACATCTTGATAGTCTGATAGATTTCCGTGCACTCATTCATTTTGGCGCGGCAAGCAGTTCCTCGTGTTTCCAGCATTCAATCTCCATCATGTATGCGGAGAATTTCATCAACGTATCAGTGAACTTGTCAATGAACCTCGACGGCAATGCAAACTGAAAGTATTAAATCCAAACCCTGCATCTACAGAGACTGAGTAGTCACTGAAACTGCAGGCATGGACCAATCAATGAACCAATGATAGAGGAAGAATCCTTTCAGCAGCCAAGTCTAAGACCAGCACTCCTGCTTGACGGCATAGGAAGGAAAAAAATGTGCCACTGTCTGCGAGAAGAACTGGATACCAATTCTGAGCTGTGACTGCCTTGCCTCCGTGGACCAGGACAAAAATAACGATGAAATCTACAGAATCTCAGACTCACAAACTCTCGCAAACTCACACAAACTCTCACAAGCACCTAAAAAACTGTAGCGAACACTTAAATACAACCAGAAAAGCTATGCAGCTACCAGAATTCCAAACTCCTCAAACTGAGGCGGCTATAGCGAAGCGCCCAACACTCTGCCTGAGGTGCACTTCCTGATGGACCAGTTGGATTTGCACCCCATGCCTCTCACAGACTCAGCGAATGCTGGTGATCAGGCAACATCTTCCCATATCTTCCCCATTGCCGAGATCCACACCCTCATGTCACCAGGTGGAGCGCGAAGCGTCGGGAAGTTGTGCAGCACAAAGTCCTGAAAGCAACTGGCCAAGATTTCTAGCCACAACTCCGATTCTAGCCTTCCCTCAGATGAGGATGCTTTGAAGCACTGCAGTACAATCCGTTCATGCACCGAGTCCTTCGTGCCCATCCTGACAGTTCAAGGCACAAACACGCCGATAAACAACGTAAACAATCAACCTCATATGAAAACTTCACATGATCGGACCTTCCCGACTTATCAGCACCAGCAATTCTGCCGCTCACCTGACAAGGTGACTTAGGATTCTTATAGCTTGCATTTTCACATGCTTTCACAAGACTTGCAAGATTTTCATCCCGTTCGGGTCATTTTGTCGAAACTTGCCGCCTCCATGATGAGGGAATAATACTCTTTGGGATCACCACGCAGCTCGTAATCCTTGCATTTGTCGTAGGGCCCCTCCACCTTCAGCCAGGTTTTAATCCCAAACAGGATGATTTTGTCTGAAAAGTGGGAAAGAAATTAAGTTTATGGTTGATGGTCATTTTTCACGTGAAAGGGCCATTTTGGGATAGTTCATTGCGGGATAGTGTGGGGAGGAATACGGTATATACGGTATATCACATTTTCTGGGTCTGTGTGTTAACCCGCAGAGCAACGACTTCATCTGCCTCGTACGGCTTCAAGTGCGCCTTTTTCCTACGCCATGCTGTAAGTGATCAAAGCACAATGAGAAGATACAAAACTTCAAATTATGTGAAAAACATCAAGAATCCTCGCTGTTCCACTTGGTCCTGCCACCCATGCCCACAAAAGGCACTCTTTCGGTGATGATGATGTAGTTGGTGGTTTCATTGCTGATGTCTCCATAGTAAAACTTAGGAGTTTGGGTCGGGAGCTTTGTCTCGGCCAACCTGGCAAGGTCAAAGACGGAGCAAAAATGCGCCAAACGTGCACAAAATTCCAAGTCTCCAAGAGTCTTCTGCATGGCGGCCATGGCCTGTATGTATTGATCTCGCAGAAATCCATGGGCTGCTTCAGGACAGAGCTGCTCAGCCGGTCCTGAAGCGAATCGCTACAGTGATCACAGTAACTCAGTAGTCTGCCAAACAGCAATTTAAGCACAAAATAGCACAAATATCCTTGCCCTCAAATGCAAAAACAAAAACTCTCAAATATCCAGTGTCATCCACATGTCCTGCTTTGTTTCCTTCGTCATTGGGAAGGGAACCTCGTCCATCGCAATAAATGAGAGAGAGAGAGTGAAAGAGAAAGAAGGAAAGAAAAAGATAGAAAGAGATAGGAAGAGTTTCTTAGAAAGAGATAGAGAGAGAGAACAAAAAAAACATGGGAAACTCTCAGAATATGGATGAACTCATCTTTCAACATCAGTAGCATTGCTCTATGCCTTGGCAAACAGCTTTGTGTGCAGGCTCTCTCGCTCTTTGGCGTACCTCTCCAATCACTAAGACCTTTCAATAAATCAAATGACAAGGCTTTGGGCAAATCCAGTGACTTGTTCGGTTGCGAAAGCACCTCACGGTGAGAAGGAACTTCCCTGCATTGTTTCCACCAGTGACCTTCGCTTTCTGGGCTGAAAAAACACCAAATCATCAAAAACAAACTGCGAGAGCTGTTACTGGCCTTCGTATCCTCAACTTTCAAGGATGTCACTCGGTTGGTGCTTTCCAAAGACCCTGCCAAAGTCAGAATGATCCATACAAAAATAGGCAGTTTCAAACCAGCTCAGCTTCAGATTCAGAGTCTGTTTGTTTAAATTCTACAAAGCCAACAGACCAGCGAACCTGCTCGATGGAAGGCTTCAGTAAGCCTAAAACAATTGCCAAACGATGTGCGAGTACTTTCAGCTGCATCAAGCCACTTAGGAACAAACCATTTCGCTCCGAAATCCTGCAACATTTGAGCAGTCCTCAGCAAGAGTTCAGCAAGAGTTCAGTGATGTTTAGTGAATGTTCACAAAGCTGGCATTGTATACTGAGCACTGAGAAAGCCTGAGTTTCCAGCCAGGGAAATTCCAAGCCATAAAACCTGAATCCAGAAGGCATTTCAACAGACTGTCTGTCATCACCGTGAGACCCTTGAGGCCCACACATTCCAGGTGATTTCTTCTTATGCTTTTCAGTGACCGCTTCCAAAGGAACCGGACTCCAGCTGATCGAGGCTTTCTTCCGCTCGGCCTGGTCAGTGAAGGCACGATTTCACCACCTCAGCCAGTTTCAGCCTGTCAGGTAAGGCGGAGACCTCACATCTTTCATCCAGCTGCTTGATCAAAGCCTGGATCCGATGGCTTGTCTGTGACGCTGGCTTGTTTGACCAGCTTTTCTCTACAGTTTGAAGGACCTCTTCACACACAACCATCAGCGTTGCCAAGGAGAGAGTTGAATGTGTGTGGGTGTGCCACCTGCCTCGCCTCCTCGGCTTTCTTGGCCTCCTCTTGCTTTGCAAGCAACTCCTCAACGGATGCTTGGTTTGCCTCAGGTTGAATGGGTTTGAACTTGAACATAGGGTACAGTACCCCCAAATTATCCACTGGTTTATCTATCATCATCTTCCCTGTTGGAATGGCCGTGAGGGGTGCTCACAGCTTCAAACAAAGCCGAATGGCTTTCATATGTCTTATTGTGTCACATGGCGACTGACGCTGAGGGCACTGCAAAAGCACGGAGGCTCTGGTTCTGCTTTGCGGCCATGTAGCAAGCCTGAACCAATCGGTAGGTCTGCTGAGTCTGCTACCAGGTGCGACCGGGTGATATTACTTGCGGGTCTTCACTGAGATTCCAACCACTTTTTTTTCTGAGGAAGTGTAGTCCTGAGCCGAATAACTTCAAACATGAATTAGCTTTGAGGAGAAAAAAAAAAATCCTGGTGAATTGCCACTGTTAAATGGAATACGTTGCATTGCTTTGCGATATTCCCCCCGTCAATGCCCGCCGTTCTGTCCTTCCATTGCTTCTGCGGAACCTCTAAAGTGCTGCTAGACACCAAGTTCTTGAGGCTGAAGAAGCTCATTTCGCCGTGGTAGGTGTACACTCTGGGACCCATTTCTGGATCCTTGGCGCAATCACAAATAGGTCTGAATTTCAAATGGGTCTGAATAGTAAGAGATGGGTAAGTCAGAACACAGTAGCTTTGCCTACCAAATGACGACCCAGTTTCTGTAGATTTTGAGGGTTCCCCAATTCAAATAGCGCGCAGCTTTGGGAAATAGATTTGTACAGAATGACAAAACATGTGTTCGGGAATCTCTTAGTAGCTCCTTGAAAAATGAGTTGATGAGGGGAATACGGACCCTTTACTCTCATCCACAGCTCCGAATCGCTCAATTTACCACCATACTTTACTCTTCCAAGCCACCACTTCCACCAGTTCTTGCTGATCCCCAACAGTCAGCATCACCATGCCATCGATCCGATCCCAAGCTGGTTCCTCCTGAGCCACCTCAAAGTGCGATGTCATGAGGTTTCGAACTTTGCAAATGGCCATCTCGATCATCTCGGTCCCGGGCAAGAGCATTCCCTCCATTTGCACCTGAAGTCCAAGAATCTGGGTGTGGTATGTGACAATGCTATGTGTTTTGTGGATCTGGATATTAGTGTAAACATATTTGTTGCGTCTGGAATGCACCAGAAAGTATGACTTGGGCAACTGGTTTTACAGTAGTACAAAAGAAGCGTGACTTCTACCCATGAGAGTTTTCTTGGGAAAGTAAGATTTCCCATCTGAGATTGATGCCAGCAGCTACTGCAGCAGGAGGCTTCTTCCGTGTCTTTGGAAGACCAAAGCTCATGGAGGACACCATTTTGGCAAAAGGATGATAAGAAAATCAAGAAATGAGATGTGTACTTGCAAAGAAACCAGGGCTACGGCCACACAAATGTCTGCAAGAAAGTCTCTTCCTTTCTGACGGGTAAAACTAAAGGCTACATCAAACCGTTGAATTGATGTCCTAGGAAAGCTTTGCTCTGCAGTTTGGAGTGAGTGAGCGTTTTCTTGGATTAAATGTCTGGTCTCAAGCCAAAAACGGCTGCCAGAGGGCTTCTAAACCAAAGGACTACAGGTCTGACCAGTACCAATTGTCTTTCCCTTTGAAGTTTGAAACCATCAGGTGTCTCAAAACTCAAAGACTCGTGTGGGGTTTCGATAAATGCAGTGCAAAAAAAATGTGCTGATATTGCTGCACATGGCTTTGTAGGTTGAAGATGGCTGAAGTGGGTAAGTAAAGGGTCTGTAATCGCAGCCCTCTTCTTTCATCGTCAGCAAAAGGCGCTGCTGAGGCCAGCACAGAGATTCGGTGATGCAGAAACAACCTTGAAAAAACCGTCTGTGCAGTCGCTGAAAGAGGAAAACGAAAAACGATTTTAACTACTGCAGAACTTTGTACTTTTCAAAATCATGCGAAACAGCAAAATTCCAAAGTTCAGAGGTTTAGACTTTCCCGTTGGCACCAAAGGTTGCAGGCCCCAGTGTTGCTCCACCATTCTGCGCAGCCCTATGCATACGCGCCGAAAATAGAAAATGTCAAAGATTTTCACATCAAAGCACAGCAAAGCACCACCCATGCGCCTGTCAAGCGTGTAGCGATAACTTTCCGGAAGCGGCGTGATTTTGGGAGTGAAGAGCGGCAGCCTTCAACATAATTGGAATGCAAGTGCCGGGTACTTTGCTGCACCAAGTAACCAGCCTCTTTTGCGACTGACCACTCCTGTCACTCCTGAACAGTGAAAAGATTCTCTGGCGACGCGCTCCATTGATTTGCTGCGGAAAAGATGAACATCCACTCAGCTTTGCACCTTCCGTCAAAAGGATGCTTGGACGAAGTGTGCAGTTTGTACAAGTCGGAGGCCTCGATGGAGAAAGCAGCAAGCCGCTTCGTTGTCAAGCTCATCTGCACCAACTTTTCAAGACATCACTCTTGAGACTCTTGAGTGACCAGCCAGTGTTGGTGGGAGGCCATCCTTTGATGAATCCGGGTCCTCTGAACTACACTCAAGGAATTCCCTTGAAGAATTGTCATGCATCAGAATGAGCAACAAAAGCAAGCGGCTCCTGTGAAATGAGGTCCGAAAAATAGGACGGAACATGCCGAAATTGTGCATCTATTGTACCATCCCGCATCCCTTTGGAGTTGGGACCTTGTTCCTTTGCCAAAGGAACTTGAGCCGACTGCATCCCCTCACAGTTTGCATCGGCATTGTGTGAAACTTCATGCGGTCGGAAATCTCCAGCAGGTCCGGGCTGCATGGGTTGCCCAAGAGCCGAAGACCTGACGGTTAGCTCAGGGTCCGGTACAGCTGAAGATCTGCGAAGATATGTTGAACATTCTTAAACTCTTACACTCTTCAGAAAGCATGGTTGGATACTTTGCACATCTTTGCACAGTGACATTGAGAAGAAAGACAAGAACTCTGAGGGGGCTAAGTCTCATACCATCCAGAGGGTCCTCTTTCCGAATCTGCACCTAGCTGTCCCAAGAAATCCAAACTGCGATGGAATACGTGCAGAAAGCGCAAGGCATTTGATGCAGGCCTCTATATCAACGAAAAAACTGAAAGAAAACTCAGGTGCGGAGCCTGGAAGGCCGCCAGAAATCAGAGACCCAGCCTCAGTGAGTGGATACCGAACATTAATTAAGCGGATAAATTTTGCAGCCTGGTCCGCTACCCAGAATTTCTTTGAGGATGGATCACTGCGCGCACGGGGGAAGCCAGCCCTGTAGAGATAAGCCGATTCCACCCGGCCGATCTGTTTGCCGACTCCACAAAAAGAAAAAATACGCAGAACATCAGTGCATGTGCTCGAAACATGTTCGAACACTTTGCAAAGCTCTGTCCTCGCCTTGCCCCGGATGAATTGCCTCTTAGTAAGCAACTTTCAAGGAAACTGAGATGCAGTGGCAAAATTAACCTTTCTTTCAATTGAGATACATCGCACCTGCCCTGAATTCGTATGCCAGTATGGCTCTGCATGGACGAGTCTTGCTACCTATCTCGCTACATTCAACCACACTGCTGCCAAACGATAAACAAAACTAGCACGTTGGGACCGTTGGGTAGAAGTCATGTCCAATCATGGCAAGGCAATCAAAATAACACTACGTCATCATGGGCACCAATGTCCTTGGGAAAGGAAGTGCACTGAAGTCACTGAAACCGAACTAAAAAGGTGACATGGCAGAAGACAATGTTGAGGATACAGCCACCAAGCAGAACAAACCCAGGACGGGACGACACCGGTGGAGATTTTGAAAATGGACAGTGGTGAGAGAGCAACCCCATCAAACCGGGCAAGACGGAAATCGGCAAATGCCTGGGTCAAGCTGCATGCGGCTCAGCTCAGCCACTCCAGCCATCAGGTTTGAGACGTTGCCTGACCCAACAAAAAAGGCGGGAAAAATCCACTGAAACATCACAACGCAATACAACAAAACCAGACAAAACCATTGCTCGTGAACCCCAAGGCCATTGAGGCAGAAGCTCGCAGTCCGGCAGCGCTTGCCATTCTTTCGAGCCTTCAGACATCTTCAAACCGAGATCCCAGAACAGGAGCACTATGAACACTGTCCCCGACGTACGTTCAGTTTACAGGAATTGCTTTGTTTCAACCACTCGAAAAACATCAAAAAAACAAAAAAAAGTAGCCCCTCCCACTTTTCTATCTTTTCTGCTGGTTCCTGTGCCTGAAGTCGTTGGGTTTCTGCCCAAAGCTCGCTCAACTGGCTGGACTGGGACTTGATGGTGTTGCACATGGCTCTGATCTCCTCCCGCAGTCGTTGGTTCTCCAGCTTCACTGCGGCTGCCTCCGGTTCTCTGAGCACTGCTGTAGGCGTTGGTATTATATGGAACTGGTATAACCCCTATAGAAATGGATCCAAACGGCCAGTTTGATGGATTTCTTGGACTACCTAACTACCCTATGTTTGCGCAAATCCACCAAGCCTCCACCAAGCTTGGCGCGCTGCCACTCTTGGACAGTCGTGAACCTGGACATTGGAAGATAGACAAGGCGCTGTCAGCAGGTGCAGCCTGAAAAGCACACCACTGTTGCAGCAGCAACAAACTATCTACAAACAGAAACATGTGCTCAGAAAAGTACACTTTCTTTGACAAGAAAGAACCAACAACTTACATGATAGAAGAAATCTATTGTAGATATGTCCGTGCCCAAAGCAAGTTGTGAATCTCTTCTGCCGACAGAGCCTTGTGTCGCAGAAGCTGTTGAAGACCTCTCAATCTTTACCCGTTGTGGCAACTATTGAGATGGCAATCAGTGCTATCAGCCAGTGCATCGCAAATGAAACTTGTGGAAAGGATCTGCCAAAAATCAGGCACGGTAATGTTCTTGGGCCAGAACGAAGAACCTCCGTGCACAACTCCATTCAAGTAGCCACTCGCCTGTTTCATCCCAGATTCGCCAATGCTTCCAAAATTGTCAGCATGGATTATTCAATGGCTTCAGGTTCAGACCAAATTTGCTCAGGTAAATATATGTAAAAATTATGTAAATATAAAACTTGACCCACCTGTGCAGGTCCAAAATTTTAACCGCCTTGTTCACTACCCACAGTCCACGGCCCAAACCAACTCCTGACCTCTTCCGGCATTCCACCTGCTCGGGCTCTGCCCCTTGTCACGGGCTCTATAAAGACTTCCTAAGAGCAGAGGATTGTCTGCTTGAAGCTCTCGAAAACTTGCGTCAAATGAGGCTCGAACTCTCTTTGAAGCCCGTTGCCTCAATCAAACACACCACTGTGATAAAGAACATATTGGAAACGCATCGTGGCGCTCAGCTCCCTGTGTCTCTTTGACCCAGAATGTAAGGCCGAAGCATGGGATCAGGTGGCTGTGTTGGCGGCGTCATCACGTTTCAAGACTGACTACATTTGTCCGGGAAAACTCATGTGAAGCCCAAGAAGAGATAAAGTACTTGGATGTACTTGGCAGAAGCAACGACAAAACTCTCGGACCAGTCCACACAAATCTTGCAGTGCTGTGCTGATATTCTGTTGTCAAAACAAGATCACACACGTGTCTCTTGAGCAGTTCCCTGCTTAACATCTAGTAAGGGGAAGGATCTGCAAGAATGTTGCATGTACTGCATGTACTCAAAAAACTAGAAGATTTTGCAAGCATATTGCACTCTGCTTGCTTGAAACGTCAAGTATTGAAGCATGCACGCGGTCTCCAGCATCGATCTGCTTTGCACTTGGGTGTTGGTGAAAACACAAACCCCAAGACCCCAAGATTTAATAATTCAACACAGACCCCAAAGGGGATGCTCATCAAACAATTCCTTTTTGGTCCTTCCATAAGTCACCGCGTGGACTTGATGACCTGGCTTTTGTGCGCTCCAATTGCTGCTGGCATCTGCTTTTGCCATTTTCCACCCGCTATCGACCCGCTCAGCCTGCAGTATCAAAAATTAGAGTACATCTTGAATGATACGTAAATGTGCACAGCACTTTAACATGAGTCATGCACTCCATCTGTCTATGTAAATTCTGTGTGGTGGTTTGATTTTAACATTGCAGCAGAATTTACATGGGTCATTCCATGTCTAATGTTGCTTCTGCAAGATCCTCGCAATGCGGCTGTGGCGAATCAACCATGTCCATTTCTATGGATTTCTTCAAGGCCACCAAGAGACACCTCGGCAAACTCGTTGAAGTCCGCAAACTCATCCCGCAAACGCTTAGAAAGGCCTCAACCATGTCATTGGAGTCGCCATGCTTCCTCAACCATTCTTGACACTAAGTAAATGATAAGTTTGGGAAAAAAAACTAATGACGTGTTTCGCCTGTTCACAATCCCATTTTTGCTCAAACATGACATGTCTGTGCAAAGTTTGGAAAGCAGCGAAGACGTTCTTCTCCGCATCGTACTCGAAAACGAAGATCTAAACATGTTTGAGCCTGGCGAATCTTTGCGAAATCCTGGACCAAGTATTGTTACATTTTTTTCAATTCCTGTATCAACAAAGTCACACCAATCATCACCAGTCATTCCCCCATGGCCATGTTGATGCAACATGCGCCAAGCCTGCGCGGCTGCATCACTTTTCAACTTCACATCCTTGCCAATGCAGAGCTGAAGAGACACCCAGCACTGCACTAGGAATTACGACTGTGGAAATATGGAATGATATACCCACAATGCCTTAAAAAATAAAATCCATTGGGTTTTGGGGCATCCTATCTTCAGACAAACCCGTGTAAGGTAGCATCAGTAGTTCTATTTTTTTTTGGCAATCACTCTTCGTCCTAACCTCCTCCAAGAGTGAATCTATTGCTTGCATCAGCCTAGGTCACGCCAGGCGCAGAACGCCAGATTCTTTCTGCATGCAGGAAAGGAAACAAAAAATGCAGTAACTAGTATATGGCATATACATGGTCTTTAGACGGTCGTGCGTCCTTCTTTTTACATTTGACGTTCTCAGGTTTCATTAGCCCATGAATTCCAATACGAATTAGAGTTTGTCAGCAAATGTGTTTTATTCTTCGCAATTCCAGGTGGGCAAGTGCTAAATTGACCATTTCGCCATAGCGAAACAACGTGTTTTTCGCCATCTTTCAAAATCGAATAAATTAACGTTCCCCATGCGCTATTTTATGCTATTTTAAAGGTTTCATCATACACTGTTGAAGCTGTTCGAGGAACATGGTGTTTCCTGCATGTCAGCGTTTCAAACCAGCGACAGCTTCAAACGGGTTTCTCCCCAAACAGTGTGTCCACACTAAGGGGTTCTTACGGTAAGTGTAAAGGCCGGTGCTTGATCGAGGTGCTCACTCTGGTCCGTCGGCCTTTTACCTGTATTTTTTGTATAAGGTGGCTCTTGTGAAATGTTTGACATGCGTTTCGGCTGCGCACGCTCGCACAAAGTGTGTGTCAGCATTCTGGGCTCAATCTGGGGCACGGCATTTTTCCTGTAAATTTCCGCATAAAGTGGTTCTTGTGAAATTTTGACGTGTGTGTGAATGTGTGAACCATCTGAAGAGATGTAAAACTTCTACACGTCGGTTTCTTTCTTGTATCTAGCTCGTGGAGAGTTCTTTGTATCTAGTTTATGAGGGGGGGCCACGGCTCCATTCATCAGTTCGTGGCCAACGAAGCTACTGATGTTTGGAGAGAATATTCTTCAGTCTGATCAACTGCACGTACCTGCGAACCAATTTATGTCACTGGAATGGCAAGCGGCCAAGCCAAGAACCGCCAAGTCCATGGCTTTTCTGTTGCTGTACGGTTTTCGCAATCTGCCAATTTTGGGAGCGATATGGCTTTGTTGACAGGGAAGGGCCAGCTTCCAATTCACTCTATTTAGCACTGACTATGGCAATGGCAGCTTTCACTGTTTTTCAGGTCCTCTCAGTGACCTATTCCTGTCAGGTTTAGAGGGGTTGTTTTTGCACGTAAGATGCATTCCACAACATAATTCGCATTGAAAGTTCTGAGCAAGTGTGTGACTCATGCTGGATTCGTCAAGGTGGCATGAACCCTTGGGGGAATACCTTTCTAGGTAGGAATTTCGACCCTCCGAACTGATCTCTGAATTTTCATTTTTCAAGCTAGTAATTCGCCTAAGTAAAGTGAAACAGTTGGCCTTTTTCGTGTTTCACCTGTCGGCCGAGTGAGTGTTGAACTACTGGCCGCTGTCTCGGCCTTCACTTTTTATGGTGAGACTGACTGACTCCAAAGGGTTGGTAGCCTTTAGCTGCGCCAACCTCCAAATTCAGTGCTGCTCGAGAGACTGATCGCTGTCATTTATGTCATGTTTCATGTCATGACAGGCAAAGGACATGCTTTACAGGTGTGGCCTCTTTACTTTTCGTTGCTCTGGTACGGTACAGTTGTGCACCAATTCGAGGGTTGAATGCTTAAGCTGTCCATAGGGTTGACCTGAAGCTAGGCCATTGAGCCTGATGAGGGGATCCTGCATTGTATTGTGGATGCATCATGTGTTGTTGTCAGCTATATAGTATAATTTCTTCACCTGACGCTTCAACCTCGCCATGTTTCCATACCCGTGGAACTCCCGTGCCTGGATGGGCACTTCTTCGAATGCCCCAGATCAGATGTGGAACTCTATGTGGAACCCGTCAGCGATGGCAGTGCCTCCACATCAAGGCATTCCTGGACAATTTTGTGGAGGGGATTCTCAACACAACCAGGAGGGTCCTGTTTAAGCTGCTGCACCGTGCGGTGGCGAAGTGTGGCCAGGGTGCTGTGCAGGGTGCTGCCGTGCGGTGGCGAAGTCTGGCCAGGATACTGTGCAGAGGTGCTGTGCTGCAGTGGCGAGGTCTAGCCAACGTGCTGCGATGTGCTGCGCAGGGTGCTACAGAGGGTGCTGTGCTGCGGTGGCCATGGTGCTGTGCAGGTTGCTGTCCAAGGTCTGGCCAGAGCTGCTTACGTGCGGTGGCGAAGTGTGGCCACGGTGCTATGCAGGGTGGTGTTGTGTAGGGTGGTGTTGTGCAGGGTGTGCCGGGTGCTGTGCAATGGAGGGTGCTGTGCAGGCTGCTGCGGAGGGTGTTGTGCAGGGGGCTGTGCAGGGTACTGTCAGGGTGGTGTGGAGGGTGCTGTCAAGGTGCTGTGTAAGGTGGTGTGAGGAGGCTGCTGTGCTCCTGTGGACGCTCTTGTCTCGAGGGCAGTGACGAAACTTTTTTTCATTTTGAAGTTTCTTTTTGGGTGACATTTGCACATCGGAATTTAAGTGCGTGTGCAAGAATCTGTGCAACCCGACATTCTAACATTGGGAAGCATTGGTTCCAAGGTTTGGGAACCGTTAGTTCCTAGAACTGGGATTCCGTGGTTCCAAGATTGGGAAGAATTGGTTCACTTCCTTGAACTGGGGACCCGCGGTTCCAAGATTGTGAAGCATTGGTTCGAACGTGGGGGAACTAGCAGTTCCTCGAACGCGGAACCCGTGGTTCTAATATTAATTGGGACGCATTGGTTCCATTGTTTGGGTTCCGCTATTGCCGCAACACATTCGCACGGCATAAAAAAGGGGTTCTGAAACCTTTTTTATCGGGGGTCTATGCCGGTGTATTTTTTTAGCCGGGCCTTCTTTCAGGGTTATTTCGTAGGGTTACCATTTGATGACAACCACCATCATTGTCATCACGACATCTTGAGTAAGTTAGAGCCAGTGAAAAACATGAATCCATATGTAGTATATTGCATTATTTTACGCCGCCCCACCCCGCATGTGAAGAGCATAGCGGGAAGTTCCGTGAGAAAGTCAAGAGCATAGTATCATGAACGTTGTGGCTCCACCCCACCCCAAACCGTCCAAAATGTGGGTAAACCCACAAGGCCGGCTACTGACCAGGCACCTACATGCCTTAGGACTGTCGTCTTTGTGTAAGGAAAATCAACATGATTTCAGCTCCAGACTCTCTACGCACCTTGGGTGTTGGGGATAGATATGATAAACATGGATAGATTGAAGATTTCTACACAGCAAATGTGAAAATCTTCAACCCCGGGGGTCCCCAGGCACCAGGGTCCCTACCGAGTTGATCCTTGAGGCCTCAGGATTTGCTCCCAAATTCCAGGAATTCACGGCATGAGTGGAGTTTGAACATGAACATACATGAACCATGGACGCCATGAACATGTCATGAACATGTCATGAACATGAAAAACTGCAATCGGTGCCTACAGCACCAAGGCCATGTTGCCATGGTGCCATGGTGCCAAGTGTTTCTCTAAGCCAGCTACATATTCTTTGGCCAATTCGTCTGCTCGGCGCTGGCTCTGGGACGAGTTGCTCAGCACCTCTCCCGCTCCATGTCCATACCATCTCCGCAAGGTGGGCCAAACACCGTTTCACTTCCGAAGGTATCCCATGAAAACTGTGGGTGACAATAATTGCCAATCAAATAAGTAGTATCTAAATTAGTAACCCCATTGTAATAATCAATCAACAATGGTATTTTCAGTGGCTCAAATGAAGATGGCAGAGTTCTATAGGCTAATGTTCAGCACTTCATATGCTCCTCCGCATTGGACCTGCACCGTCTCAGCAAGAAGCTCGAAGCACTCTTGCAAATTCGCTCGAGAACTTGAAGTGAGGGCTTCTTCCTGGAATCTGAGTTGAAGGCCGAGTGATAGAAACTGGAAGCAACTGATTCTGCTATATAGTTAGATGGACTTCGTTCTTGTCAAATCTTCATAAATCTTCCATGACCAGGCCAAAGATTGCTTTCTGGTGCGTTTAGTTCACTCACACCAATCAAACTGGTGTTTCCATGCTGGAAGCCAAGCATGCCAAGATTGCTACTGGTAACGAAAGATCTTTGCCTGGTGCAAAGATGCCATGGCTGCTTCAAACTAGGTGAGGAGTAATCAAGTCCTTTCCCATCCATGTGAGCTGTAAAGCAATGAAATTCACTTAAACAGTGACCATCCACTTTAAGATTTTGCTGCATACAGTCTAAAAATCCCACAAAGAATGGGCTTGATGTGCTGTAGTGCAACGTCTGAGTGTGCTTGCTGCTTACGTTCTGAATCAAATATCAAACAAATGTCTGGTGAGATGCTTACCAATCTGAACTGCATGGCAGGTAGTAGACAACCCCTTCATACACTCGGAATGCAGTCTCATGCAAACAAATGCCTGACCAACTTTGGGTACCACAACTTCCATGCCAGAAATGAAGTTCTCTTTTCTGGGCTGCGCAATATACAGAATGTCTCGAGACAAGGAAACAAGCTTGCAAGTTTTTCTACGTGCAGTCTGCTCAGGTCTTTGACAGTTGAACTTGAAGTCGTAATCATTACTGCACAATCGAACCAATAAAGGCTACTAACAGTGTCAAACCATACGACCGATTTCTGTTGTGCAATCACTTCTCAATCCACATCACTTGCCTAGGTGTTGCACAAGCGACAACTCCCAGTCGGTGTCACTGGATTCATGCAAAGGTGTTGCATAGATTGAAGACCTCGATATCACAAAACAATAATTGGAAGTCATCTATCATCATCCAATAAACCTATATGAATCTATAATCATATCTATATAAATTATATAAATATAAATCATCGAAACATGATTTGAAGCATTTGAACCAAGCAGCCATTCTCCTTCATCGCGCCATCGAGCCTTCACCTCTCCATCGGGTGCTCGCTCCAAAGGATTGGCGTCTAAGTACTCTCCTTGATGTCCCCGCCTGGAAGGCGTTCACTTTTGGCGAAGGAAATGTTGAAATGTTTGTATACCTATAAAATCCTATAAAGATATAAAGAATGAACATATTACTGATATATTAATATTGAATATGTAAAGAATATGTAAAGAATATATAAAGTATATTAGAATGCATTGGATGCACTGCGAACAGAGCAGGACCGTTGTCTTTCTTTGCGCCGACTTGGCTGATCCTTCTGCATTACTCTCAGCACAGCACAGGAAGATCTGATCGCCGGAGTAGATGTCACCTCCATCCTGTCGTCAGCTCAAAGGTCTTACAGCGGTAATCAAATTTTGCAACACAGCTCAAGACCCTAGAATTACTCCCGGTACCTTGACCTTGGTAAACAATCCAATGGAACATGTGTTTCTTTGTTCTTAATCCAAGAAGAGTCCCATCCCGTTGCAACATTAAAATCATTAAACACCACTAAGTCACTACTAAACCACGGTTTCTGGTGAGTGTTTAAGATGGTAGGGGATGATTCGGCAGATGGGATTAGCTTCGATGCTCTTTTGTTTCGAGACCATGGCCTGCTTGACGATCGTGATCTTCTGCCACTCACCTCTAGGATCGTAATATCGTGCACCTGCGCTAGCGACGTACCATCAGTATCAAGGTTCTTAAGTGAGGTTGATTGATCTGTCAGATTCCGTCTTGAGGAAGTCTCAGGTTGTTGCGAACAGCACTTCCCAGAACATCCATGTGGACACCAGTCCTCACTTCAATCTCAGGTAGTACACTGAATCGACTCAAGACAACTCGGTAGTGTAAGAGCGGGACGGCATCACAAACATCACCACATCTCCATTTTTTACCGGTTCTTAGTGGTAAACAAAGGAAACCATTGCGTCGACAAGCGAATAAACGTGGATTGTGGACCAAGTCTGAGTCTGTAGCCATCACGGTTGGTCATTTTTTCAATTGTGAGTGCATGTTCCTTGTCTTTCTGCTTGCCTCGTGCCTGTGCCATGACAAGAACGTCGGCAAACTCGTTGGTGTAAGTGCCAACAACACCACTCGGCACAACACGACAAAAACGTTGTTGTGCCTTCACCCATTCCAATTTGGTTGTGCCATCTAGTTCACCAACATATCGTCCTGTCATAACCTGCGCAAAGTGACATTTGTTTGACGATGAAAACATCAGGATGCATCAAAATCAAAAGTCGTTCCAATCCAAGCCTTTATGTACACTGTGTCACCATGCATGATTGTTTCTCCTGCAACGGAACAAAGGACGGTCAAAGCTTGGAAAATACAAAACATATCAAAAACCAATAAATACCAAGTAATATAATAAATTCCAATGTTCAAAAAAAATTGCAAAATGCATTTATCAGTATCGTATTTATTTGCTGTGTTTCTCCTGTTTGTTTTTTTGCTGCCCGAAGCTGGACGAGAGAACCGCGGTCCATTCGCATGGTCGGGATTGAACCTTTGCAAACCAACGAATAGCATGGCACAGCAAACATGCAGGGAATATCAGGGAATCGATGGACATCGATGGACTATGTTTGAGTCCCAAACTGTGTCTGAATTCGGAGTCTCTCGTTATAGTGGAAACTGACTGAATAGAGCCGGGAATTCGAGCACCTGATGCCAGAAGATTCTGCAAATTGTCCGTCATGGAAAAAAATTGTATGCAATGGCTTCACACGGGACCGGCCTTGAACAAACAAATCACCCAGATCATCCAGAACGGTCCGGGACTTAGCTGCGCAAAATGTGGATTTTGGATCGAAACAAATGTCAACAATCGAGACTTTGCTGAGACCACCGCATGCATCCAAACCAGGATGCCCACAACTGAGGCCAAGAGAAGCCTTGAATGCCTAGCATTGAATGATTTGCCAATTAAAGTCCAGTGAGGTCACTTAAGGAACTAGGCAGAGGAAAGCAAGGATTGTAAGAATGTGCAAATCCATGGGCACATGCCAATTGCGCCTCGGTTTCAGGTGCTTTAACTCCATGATGAAATCCGGGTAGCACTGTCCTGCCAGCTCCTATTTTACTTGTGACACGCCGCCTTGAGTTGTCGAAAAACCATCGCAAGTCACATCAATTGGCAATTTTTCAGGCATGTCAACGCCAATATTATCAGCCGTTTGCGGTTGAAAAAACATTTGTTTGTCAACGGAAATGGTTGCAACGCTGAACAAATTTTCAACAAAACAATGCAAACACAAACCCTAAAATAATACATAGGACTCCGGCTGATGTTTCTCCAGAACAATTGTGGCGAAACAGAACCAAAAGTACCTTTACACAACAATGAACAAGGTCGTGTATGTGTTTTCATTTTGATGCAATTCGTCCAATCACATGTCAAACGACCAACCTAAATAAACACTTACAAACATTGACCACATGAAAGACGTGTCAATTTTGTCCTTGTTTTGTTTCGCGATTACCAACACACCAAAGTCGACACTATGCATTGTGTTTTGGTGTCACTTGATTTAGTCCTAACGCCTACCCCGGTTTATTTTACCAACTTGGGAAAAATTTCCAAGCGGTTTGATGGATGTATTTTTCACACACATCGGAAACCGGATAAAAAGGTGTTGCCTGATGCAATTGCAGCAAATCACTTCGGTCTTTTTGACACGTGGGGGAGGTCTGCTGCACCGTACGGTGCGGTTAGGTTTGATGGACAAAGTGGTGGAAGTGGGTGGGCCTTTTGGCCATCAAGTTGCCTTTAAAAGGCAGACCCGCCCTCTCCACCCTTGAACGGATACAGCCACATGAGTCAACTGCTGCACACACCCATGATTGGCCTTTGCATTTACATCACAATCGTTTTTCTGCGAAAAGCTTCATCCTGTTGCCTGATGCAAGTGCAGCAAATCACTTCGGTCTTTTTGACACGTGGGGCGAGGTGTGCTGCACCTCCCCCTTTTGTTTCCTCAGCTGCCTCGCTTTTTGCACTTCCATCAGACAACGTGCTACGCGTTTTGCAGCTGTTGACGACTCATCATATTTTGTTTCAAGAAAAGGGTGTGCCAGTCCACGGGATGGCACGTCTGCAATGTTCGCCTCTGTGGGCATTCTGGCAAACCATATGCAACTGTTGATGTCAACTTCCGTACGCAAATGGAGCTTCATGATGGTACCAGCCACGGTACCCAAACCAGTGCCTCTGATCAGTGCGTAATGTACGCTGTCGTTGTCACCATAATGCACCGAGTTTGAAGATTTGAAATATCCAGAGCAAACATCCATCGCCAAGCAAGCTGCAAGCATCTCCAACTCATAGATAATTAATTATCTCCTTGTCACTGGCACCAAAAACATCACACATGCTCTTGTCAAGCTGCACGGAGAACCAAGCCGTACAATCACCGTTTGAGCTGACAAGCACAGCTCCTAGTCCTCCATCCTGCGATTCTTTGTCGTAGGCAGCATCTGTAAAAGCAAACCATTCCCTGACGGCCTGTGAGTTGACAGTCTTTGGGCCCGCTGTCTGAAGTCGTAAAATCATCATTTCCAAGATACCAGCTAAGTCATCATCCACTGCAGCAGTTGATCCATAGGCGTGGTCCACCAAGCGTTTCAATACAAGAGCACCCAAACGGCCATGCAGAAAGGCGTCAGCAAAGCCCAATCTTCCCCTCAACCGGAGGGCATCTTGCCTGTTCAGGCTACGTTTCTTGACAACGTCACCCAGCTGTCGTACCAAATCTGCAAGCGCGTCTCCGTATTCTTGATCTCCAGTGTTCCAAAGCAAGATTTGGCTAAGTTGAATGCAACACCCAAAGCACCGCACAGGTCAGAAAAAAGAAGTGGTTTTCTTTCCTTCAGTCGCAAATTCCCATCCAGTATAAAGGAAAATTAACTCCATGCAGTTCTTTGCTGATTCACGCAACACGCAATTGCTCGCAAAAATGAAGTCGTCGTAAAAATTTGTAGTGATCAGCTTTGCTCCCCTCGAGGAAATGCAGTGAATCATTCTCGCCAGACACAAGAAATTGTAGACGCTATGTGTCGCGCCAAAAAGGCAGTGTCCTTGAGCGATAAATCTCCACAGCACCTTTCTCACAGTTGAAGATGCAGAAGTATCCATATTCAGGTGGTCATTTCGAATTGGAATCTGCCTGTATGCGCTCTTCAAGTCGTATGCCTTTGCTTGAAGGGAAACATCCTTGCCACATGCATCCATCTCTTCGAAGTAGGATTTGGCAGCGGCTACAAAAGTGTCAATGACATGCAGGTCCAATTTTGTATTTATTGTGCAACTGTCATTCACTCCAGAAACCGAGTAGTCATCAATCATCCTGATTTTTTCACCTTGCAAGAGGGGAAATCTCCGTGATATTGTTGCACCCTTTTCCAAACTGCCAAGCTCCCAAGGCCCATCGGCCCAACCTTTCGCCGACTCTTCCTCTGTCTCCTTCAGCACCGCTTCATCCATTGCCTACAGAGCCAGAGCTCTTTGTCATTCCCAGTACCAACAGATCGCGTTTGGCGGCGCAATCTTCCAACTGTTGCAAAATGGATACACAAGGTTTGAACGCAGATTGAAAAACCGCCGAAGCTTCTATGTCGTCTGCTAAAGTGGACCCTTCCTGTAAAAGCTCCAGCACTTCCAAATCTTCGTATCCAAGGCTCTGCAAAATTTCACTTGTAAGCCGTAGACGCTTTTTAGATGTCGACGGATGCCTCTTGCTCGCAGCTTTCTCTTCGGTTTCCAGTTCTGCTGCTCTTTGTAACCATCTTGCACCGGTCCAATCTGTACTGTGCCACCTCGTCGAAGGTGTGTTCCACGTGCCAGTCAGTGGCAGACTGAATGTCACTGGGCACAAGTTTGCAGAAATTTGCGCGGTGTCCCATCTGAGCTGCCTTCGAAATAAAGGCCTACCTCACCTTTGTGAGTTGTGGTTGAAAACGCAAACCAAAAACGTTCGTTTGCAATCAGGGTGGACATGTCTAAGACAGAGCGTCGCAAACATATTTCAATGCATCACTGCAAAAATGAAGTGCAAAACAAGTCAAACTGTTTGTTCACATCCTCACTACTCACAACAGAAAAACAATCACGCAACATCCAATGCTTTCATGGCAACTTTCACTATGCCCCTGGCCAAAGTGGTGCTATATATTGCCGTTTCAGGCCAATTCACTTCATTCATGGGTGCGTGCTGGCTCAAGCACGTGCACTGCCCGAAGTGTTCATTCATGATCCTCACAAACGGCTGAGAGTTGGAGGTAAGCCCCAAACTCTTACCAACTGGTTTTCCAGAAGCTGTTCGAAAGCCTGTCGCGCATAAATGGACTTGAACGTCAAATAAGTGTCCGGCCTTCCTTAGTGTCTCCTTGATCAAGACCCGCTTCCAGATCTCATTCCTCCATGGAAGCTCAAAAGAACTGAAATCACCCAGTTTCAAATAGAAACCCACATGAGGAAAAATCTGGTCCTAATCAAAATCCGCAGGAGTTGGTTCATCATTTCCCTTAAAATGCCGCAGTGGCGACCCTGAAGCACATGGGAACGAAACATGGACAAACACCTTCTTAGGATCTCGATTTGGTTCAAATACTGAGACACTGCGGTCTGAGTACTCTTGGCTTCCATGTCTTGTATAATGCCCATGTATCCCAAACGCTTTGCTTCACACGCAAGTGCAGACCTCCTTTCACAACAAACTTCCACAAAGACGATGTTACTATGACCCTTTGTCAGGCTTGACACAATGACCTCTATGCCTTCGAACCTAGACACGAGCTATGGTACTCAAATGCAGAGGTGCCCAAGCACTTCGATTGACCTGCTCCTTAATCCATTCAAGCTAGATGACGCGACTTCAGCAATTTCAGAGAGCTCTCGATGTCTGAATACAACACTCCCGACATGCTGTCCTTAGAACCCTCCCAATAGTCCGCATCACTCGTCCCACGAACTTTCCAAAAGCGACCGTTTCCTGTGCTACGGCTTGCAAAGCGTGAGTTCTGATTCTATACTAGATAGGACTAGATAGGCTCGTAGCTGTTGGTGTCGTGACAATGTTTTAATCAAACAACCGCGAAAGATGATGACCCCTCCTGTTACACCACGTTTTCCGGTACTCTTCAAAGGAGTATGTGATGCATTAGAGAAAGCACTAGCTTATCTTCCACGTTGTCTGCAAGTGGTAGCTGGTGGTCTCCCGTGGCGGAATCTCTGCTGGCAATCGCAACACCACACCCTGATCCTGGATTAGAAAACGCAGCACGCTCTCAAGGCCTTTTGAATGTGCTCAGTTGGTTTGGACTGCGGTGGCACCCACGCCCTGACATCTTGGCGCGCTTGAGCGAACCACAATAACTTTCCTAAGGCAGAACGGAACCTATTGTAGGCTTCGGCGGAAGTTCCTTGCCTTCCTGGCCCAATGTTAACGGAGAGGTCGCAGGCGGCACTTGGCCTGACTGCCTGATTCGCAAGCAACCTTGCCGTCGGACACCACAGCCACAGGGTTTGGCCTCAGGGTCCCAATTCATTTGCCCAGCTTTGGTCTCACGAAGCAAGTCAACGACAAACTGAATTTGCCCTGAACCTGGTCTTTGGATGCCGCTAAATCAAGGTACATCCCCATGAGGCTGCCGTCTGTGCCAACATGGACGAGACCAAACCCACATGCAGGTGCAGACAATTATCATGGTTTGCTTGGAATTTGTGGGCTTCTTCATGCGCTATTGTAAATTTGAAGTGGAGCTTTCAGAGCGCCGCACCAACTGGATTGTGCAGTAGGTGGAAGAAGCCCCCCGAAAACCTTGGCGCTCACCGGAGTTGTGGCTTCAAGCCAGTTAACGATTGGCCTGAAGCTCTTTCTAGACAAGTGGTCCGTCTCTTTGCAGCGGCTTCATGTTGCGAGGGGCATTACCGCACCACGGAGAGAAGCCCTCTGCGGAGTCGAGGGCAAGCTTTCCGGACCGATACCAAGTGCGATGAGAAGAGATTGATACTTGGAGGATGGGAACTAGGTGAAAACGCTGATCCAAAAGAAGCAATGTGGTTCGCGGTGGAGGTGGATCTTGAAGAGACTCCGTTGGCGGAA